TATGCAGTTTAAACTCTTAGTGATCCTCCTGTTTTCAGTCTCCCCAGTGCTGGGATTACAGGTGTGCGCCACCATGCCTGGACTCAGTCACGAGCCCAGGGGCAGGGCCAGTGAGGCATTTGGTACCAGGAATCGAACCCCAGTTCCTGCTCTTGCCTAAGCAGGTGCTTAATCTGCTGAGCTAGCTTGCCGGCCCTAAAATTGTAATCTTAAATGTTCTGTCTGCAATCGGTAAAATGAAAATAATATGTTAAATTTTCAAACAGAGAAAAGTATATCATAATAATTATGTATGTACTAGTCACCTGGAATTAATAAAAGCATCATTCAATCATACTTTCCTCTGATTCCCCCCCCCCCCCCTCAGAACCGGGGATTGAACTCAGGCCTGTGCGCTTGCCAGGGAAGCGCTTATTCCACTGAGCCATCTCCCCGGCCCCTTTCCTCTGATTTGTATTCTTTTAAGGAACTGAAGACCTCTATTTCTTTTATCCTTTCACTTTCCTTAGAAGCAGCCATTGATATTTCATATGTATGTATCTAATAGCAAAGTAGTTTGTGTATGTGAGTATGCACACATGCACATGAAAAATGTATGTAGATAGCATGTTAAATGCACTCTTTAATCCTGAAATTTGGACATATCTACTAAAGTTCAGCATCTAGCACTTCTGCTTCCAGATGTATATAGTAGAGATTCTTATAAGATGAGCACAAGAAAGCATTTAGAGGGGCATGCATTTGAACATTGTAGTAGTAAAAAACTAAAACAATGAGAAGATAAGGGGCAATGCAGATTGTAGTATGGTAAGAATGAAATAATTATATCCCTTTTTCTACATGGCTTATATCACTAACCCTATAAAAGTATAAGAGGCGCTTAATTTCTTCTGAGTAAAGTATCAGTAGTTTGTAAATAAATACACATAAAGTAACCTCATTATACTGGGATTACTCCATTGTAAAGGACTGGTGTGGATAGGTAAGAAACGATTCAGCTAGATTGTAAATCACCAGCAAGATGAAGAATATACTTTTCCCCCCTTCCGCATCTTCCCTTTTCTCCAGCCTTCTTCTTAAGCTGTTTCTCCCCTTTTCATTTTGTTTGCTTTTCCAATTCACTCAACTCTACGGGTCACTCTTTTTGATATTTTCAGTTCTTGAACTACAAGTTCTTGAACTACAAGGCTTGTAATTTTACAAAGAAAAAAATCATGATGATATCAACCAAATGCTTTAGTATAAATGGTAATACTACTAAAAGTGTTATTTTCCACAGGTTAACTAAAATTTACCTAAAAACCTTTCATGCATATTACTTACTTGTATATCTTATGTTTACTATGTAAATATTTTCTGTGTAAATATTTACCTTGATTGAAGAGTGTTAATATGGTGAATTTTTTGTACATTTTGTGTTTTCACTAGATGTAAATTATCATGTATGAATGTAGTTGTCAAATCCTTTTAGAACAAAAACTGTTAACACAGTTAAAGAGAAGAGACTATGGGGCAAAAATAAAGCACTGCTTACCAGGCTTATGATTTAGACTTCCTAAAGCAAAAGTATCAGAAACATAGGTGTGATCTGGGTAGGTGTCTCAAGGACTGAAGTTGTCTTATATCTTATCTAGCTCATCCTGGGCTGGCTACATGTGGAAATGCTTCAGAATAGATAGGAAATTTTTATTGCCTTATTAAGGGACCTATAGCCTACTTTATACAGTTTGTGTAAAGGAAAAAAAAGTGTTCCCTGTACCTCTTTACATTATTTAATTGAGTTTTAGTTGTATACATCAAAAATATAGAAGAATTTAGTTATGGGTTAATTTCATTGATTGTGAAATTGTGACCAAGAATTACAAACATAGACATATTTTATATGTTATAAGTTGCACATAAAACAGGAACAAAATGAAAACTACTACATACTAGTGACTATAGTTAGACAATAATTATTTCTTGAAGTAAATAATAAAACTACTGAAGGACAGGAAATTGATAGTAAAATATGGAGAAGACATTTCGTCTTTTAGTAAGCTCTAGTGGTCTAACAGTGTTTAATGAAATACAAACAAGTATGTTAAGATCCTTGACCTCTCTCTGCCTGTCGGCCCCACCCCCAGGGCATGCTGAGACAGCGATTGAGACTGGATGTGGGGCATGTGCCTATAATCCCAGCTCTCCACAGGCTGTAAACAGGCAGTGGATCACTAAGAGTCTGATCTAGTATTGAGATATATATATATATATATATCCATCCATGATAGTATCATAGGTAGTCCAGGGTTGTGTTGGGGGACATCTAAAGTCTTTAAGTATGTTCAGCAAGTCAAATAGTTGAAAAGAATATTCCAGACCAGTACAGGTGAATCTATGGCATGTGTGCCCCAACAGGCCGTTTGTTATCACTGAAAGCTCCCAAAAGGTCTGGCATCACTGCTGTAGGCAGAGAAAATGATGTAATGCACTTGAGCGAAATGACAACACATAGCAAGTCTAAGGTTTGAGATGAGTTGATGACTATAAGCATGAAGGTAGGCTGGATGAATAAACCAAAGCATGATACTTTAACAATTTTTAAAGATAGTGCATCCCAGATTTCTTCACTTCTTCAGTCTCTCCCCTTTTAACTTTATAATCTAGGCACTCTAATCACTATCCACACTGGATTTCTTCCAGTTCTTCAAAATTTATTGTGGGCCAGGTACTATCTTAAGCACAGGGAAGATAAATCAGTGAATAAAATAGACATTTTTGTTTGCCTTCACATAGCTTACATTCTACACCTACCACTGGTGACCACGTAAGCAGCTGTATACAGCCTGTTAAATAATGCAGCAAATGTTGCTGGTAGAGAAACATCAGCTAAGTCCAAGTGTATCCTGAATGATGGCATAATAAGGTTTGGTGAGAGAGTTAAAAGCATGTCAGAAGGAATAGAAGTGAAGAACTTCTAGACAGGAAACCAAGTAAAAGTGTGAAACACCAGTGATGAAAAGAAACAGCACTTTTTCAACAGGTTTCCCTGCTTCGTCTTTAGCCCACTGCAGTCCATTCTTGCCATGGCAGACTGATCTTTTAAAAACAAAAATATATCAATCTTTTGCTCAGAATCCTTCAGTGACTTCCTGTCTCCCTCAAAATAAAATTCAAAAGTTCTAACCATTGCGCAAATTGCCCTAATTGACGCTTCCTACAGTATGTCTGATCTCATCTCACTCTTATCCTGGCTTAGCCTACTACGGCTGGTGTAGGTGTAGCATCTTTGCCACTCTTCCAGCATTCTAGACATGATTCCACATTGAGTGTTGATAGTCATATGCCATGAGTCATGGACTTTGTTTGTAGAAGCTTTTTCCAACATGGTTGATTGGTGATCCTCAGCTTGTTTAGGACCTTTCTTTAATCAAAAGAATCCTGTACTGATGACATATTATAAAGCAGCAGACTGGGGCTGGGGAGATGGCTCAGTGGAATAAGTGCTTCCCTGGCAAGCACAAGGGCCTGAGTTCAATCCCCAATTCTGCCAAAAAGCAAGCAAGCAAGCAAGCAGCAGGTTATCAGTTTACCATGCATTGTTTTTCCGAGTACCATTATCATAATTGAAGGAAGTACTGTTGCATGAATTATCTCACTGGTCCTAACCACCACGAGAATATATTATATGTTCATTTTTACTGCTGCTTTCTCAGTGCTCAAAACAGTGCTTTATTATATATAGTTGCAAGCACTCATTTTATTATTTAATTCTACATAGGTGTATGAATAGGATATTTTTATTTTTTCAGCTTTATATTTGCCTGGGTACTTATGTGTCTCATAAGTTGATATGGTTAAAATAAAGCCCAGTTTTTGACCTTGTTAAATTTTTAACCATATTTGTAAACATGTATTTACTTATAATAAAAAGATGTTCAGTTTTTAGCTAATAGTAAAAACATTCATAGTACTTTGTATTGCTGGGTTACTTATTCATCATGAAGCATGTTAGATTAATAATGTTTGAATCATTGTATTTTTATTTACATAAACCCAGTATTATAATAGTATTAAAATAACTTCACTTTAAAGACACTTAAGCAACTGCTATATAACAGATTATTTTTTCCTAAAATTACATTATAAGCGTCATTATCTTCAAGTCAAAGATATAGCAATGGTATATTAAATAGGAATGATTGTACATTTCAACAGGTTTTTTTTAATGTATTTGGTTGTTGCAGGGTCTCACTACACAGCTCGGACTCATGGTGATCTCCTGCTTTCAGCCTCCCCAGCGCCGCTGGGATTGCCGGAGTGTACCACCACGCCTAGACTCTAGCTAGCTCAGCCCACCTGAGGGCGGGGCTGGCACAGCGTGTGTGTGGTGCTAGGGATCAAACCATGGTCCCTGTGCTTGCCTAAGCTTTTCTAAGCAGGCACTATAGTCTGCTGAGCTATTACACCAGCCCCATTCCAACAATTTAAAACAGTACAATTTTACACAGAATTCTAGAACATATATGACTGTCGAGTCAATACTTTGCCTAAAGTATATGTGCATATATTGCTAGTCCTAGTCAGTACTAATCATTTGGCTTACTCATCATCACATTTCTATTGTTTTGTACAACTTGCATCTTTTCTACTTTCCCTAGCATAATCTGTGCAGCTTTGAGTGGAAAATAGTTTTGAATGAACAGTTTTGGCCCTTCACTATAGAATGGTGAAAGAGATGACTCAGTTGATTCTAAAACAGATTTTACATTTTATTGTGTATTAAATTTCTTCAAATCATCTAGCATTCCCAGCTCCCCCTCTGATCTTTTTTTTCCTATGTAGTGCCTTCCCAGTCATGTCATTACTAAAACCACTTAAGATCAATGGATAATGGCCACATATCAAATACAAATGTTCTTAGGTCATAAATTAGTCGGTCAGCAAAATATGAAATGATAAAATGTAAGGGTTGCCTATCTGTTACAAATATAAAGTTTTTTCTCTTGCAAAAATTATAGGGGATGGAGTGTTAGATCTCTCTACAAAGAAAACCAGCATAAAATCTGAAGAGTCATCCATATGTGATCCTTCTTCTGAAAATTCAATGGCTGGGTAAGCAATATCTAGGAAATATAAGTTAATATTAATATAAAGTTATCTCTACAGAGAACTCTATTATTCTACATAGTGTTGACATATGTAGTTTTCCTCTTGCATTTTTTTCACTCATAGTGTGTCTCATACTTTTCATTTGTCCTTTCTCTTTCTGTTTTATTCTTTCTGTTAAAGAAAAGTTATCAGAACAATCACCAAACTTTAGTTCTTGTTACTAAAATGAACTTGCAACTTAATCATAGAATGCAAACTAAGAAGCAGGACGAGTAAGAGAACTTTAAATATTCAGGTGGAAATTTTAAGGGAACTGTATCATCTAAGTATTTAATTTTTAAACCAGTAAACAAATTCTAAAAGTACTGCACTTACCATTCTTAAAACTAGTCTATAGTGTTTACATTTTTTTGATTGTGTTTTAGATGTGGTGGCCAACAACTTAATATATCTAATAATCACCACAAGTCCTTTTGTGTTCTGAAAAGCAGTCATTAAATTAATTTAAATAATTAGTAGTGAAATGCTGTTCTGTTGGGTTTTTGGATTTTTTTGTGACTTCTACATCTTCCTGTTAACTACATGCAAAGCTTTTTTGTCACATTTAAATCTGACTTCTGCAGCCTAATTTGATCAAGAAAGGCTACAGTAGGATTTGAGTCATAAGGTATAGTAAACTTTCTGAGAACTGAAAACTACAATGATGCTTCCAAAACAAAAATAACTTTTATAGTATCTAAAGTGAAATTATTGTGTTCAAAAGGTCTGTTTCAGATGTTAAGTTTTTTTCTAGAGAAAAATTAGTCCTGTGGAGATATGGGGTGTTTGTGTTTGGAAATATTCTTGCTGCTACAAATTTCCTTTAAATGGGTTGACTCTTTTATTACTTGTTTAGCGGTAACGTCACGTTTCTACTAACAAAAACTCCTTTAGGATTTGGGTATTTTTTTTATAATGGAACTCTAATTGTACAAATAAAAATTATAAGTGTTGCTCTGCAAGCATCTTTCAAAGGAATAGCAACATCATGAGAATATTTTTACAAATACTGAGTTAGGATTTTATGTTCTTGGAAGGTCTGCCCGTTGAGGCCACCGTACCATTGACACATTGTCCTACCAGGACTATAGCATTTGCTTTGATAAGGAGTAACTACTACATCTCACAGACTTAAAAGTATCATGAGCAGTGATGTTACCTAAGCAAGGAGTATAATAAAGGAGTGGACCCTCCCCTTCCATAGCTGTGTGAGAGTCTCTCATGCATCAGTTTACCATCGTTTCATTCCATCCATCCAGGAGACTACACAGAAACAGAGAGGACTATGTGGAAAGAAGTGCTGAGTTTGCAGATGGTTTGCTCTCAAAAGCTTTGAAAGACATTCAGTCTGGAGCACTGGACATAAGTAAAGCAGGCATACTTTATGGCATACCTCAAAAAACTTTACTTCTCCACTTAGAAGCCTTACCAGCAGGGAAGCCTGCAGCTTTTAAAAACAAAACTCGAGATTTCAATGATAGTTACTCATATAAAGACAGTAAAGAAACTTGTGCAGTACTACAAAAAGTAGCCTTGTGGGCAAGAGCTCAAGCAGAGCGCACAGAAAAAAGTAAACTCAATCTACTTGAAACCTCAGAATTAAAATTCCCAACAGCTTCCAGTTACCTCCATCAGTTAACTCTACAGAAAATGGTTACTCAATTTAAAGAAAAAAATGAAAGCCTTCAATATGAAACTTCAAATCCTACTGTACAATTAAAAATTCCTCAGCTACGTGTAAGTTCTGTTTCAAAATCACATCCTGATAGTTCTGGTCTGCTGGATGTTATGTATCAAGTTTCTAAAACCTCTTCAGTCCTAGAAGGATCAGCTCTCCAAAAACTGAAAAATATACTCCCTAAACAGAACAAAATAGAATGTTCTGGGCCTGTAACTCACTCAAGTGTTGACTCTTACTTTCTACATGGGGACCTCTCTCCTTTGTGTCTTAATTCTAAAAATGGAACAGTTGATGGAGCCTCTGAAAATACTGAAGATGGATTGGATCGAAAAGATAACAAGCAGCCCAGGAAAAAACGTGGCCGCTATCGGCAGTATGATCATGAAATAATGGAAGAGGCTATTGCAATGGTAATGAGTGGAAAAATGAGTGTTTCCAAAGCACAAGGAATTTATGGGGTACCTCACAGCACTTTAGAATACAAGGTAAAAGAAAGATCTGGAACACTGAAGACTCCTCCGAAGAAGAAACTACGATTACCAGACACTGGGTTATATACTATGACAGATTCAGGGACTGGCAGCTGCAAGAACAGTAGCAAGCCTGTGTAGATTACTTGTTAGGAAATGTGTGTGTGTGTGTGTGTGTGTGTGTGTGTGTGTCCGCGCGTGTTTGTATGTGCACAAGTGTGTATTTGTGTGTCTACATACACACATGTGGGAATTACAGATGCTCACTCTGACAGGAGACATGGAATTTTCCAGTTCAAAAACCACTTACATGCCTTTTGAAAAAAAAGTTTTATTCAGGGTTTTCACTGTGGACAGAATTATATAGTTGCTTACTGAATTCTGGTAGTTTGTATTTAATCCTTGTATAAATAGGTGGAAAAGATTCAGGTTTTCTTTAGTAGTCAATAGCATAAAGCGTGGGAAAACAAGTCATTGTAAAGTAAAACATTTTTATTGGTGAAAGAACATTCTAGCCATTCAGTTGAACCATCTTATAATGGAAATATGATATTAATAGTTTATAAACATTTTTACATAACATACTTATTATGAGTATGTCAAAGAACCAATCAGAGTTTAAATAGAAAGCTATCTCCTTACTAAGAAAAATTAATATATACAGTATTAATACACTACAGTACATTCTATGAAATACAAAATGCACTCAAGTGCATCCACCAGGAATAGAAAAGAGAACCTTAAAGGATATGTATAATGAAACTTAGTATTTATCATTTAATAGTTGATTTAGCAGGAAGTTGGGGTTTATAAGGTTTATGCTTTTTAAAAAACAGACACATAGTTAACCCCAGCAGCTATAGAATCTTTTAATATAAGATGGAATACTAAGAACAAAAAGTAATTTAAATTTAATTATTAAAATAATTTAATTTTGTTTTTCATTTGAAAAATAAGCTAATGTGTAAGGTTAGAAAAGAAAGTTGGAATGCAACTTAGAGCATGTTTATAATGTGCACAGAACAAGTTTGAGAATGATAATTTTGGTTTAAATGTGCTGGTTAGTTGATGTTATGACTACTTTAAATTTTAAGGATTGTGACACACTCCTATTAAAAAACCTCAGTGTAACTTTAATATATTTGCTGCTGTGACATTTCAAAACATTTTCAGTTTATCAAAATGAATTACAGATTTCATTTTGGTGGGCGATACATTATCATTTTGCTAATAACCAAATTTGCAGTTTGTTCAGGGTCTTGAATAGATTTACAGATGTTTAACACTGAAGCTGTTTTGAACTTTCAGTAATGTAAACTCTACTAATTGGGTAGTTAGAAGCTGGGCAGTGCATTTTAACTTTTACTAGACTCATAAGAGAGACCAGTAATTTTTATATAGCAGTTTTAAAATATGGGTCAGAGTATTCATGTTATTTAGGGAGTATGCAGTTTTAGTGGTAAAAAAGTTATAAAGCATGTACCTCCATGTAAAAAATGGGGATTTGCTTTATAGATTCAAAATTCTCCCGAGTGCCCCCTTTTCTCTGTTAAAATTCAGGTTCTGATCATTTTTCTAAGCCAGTTTTTCTATGTCCAAAAGGAATTCTTATGGCTAAAATTAAATAAGTGCACCTTGTCAAATACTTGTGTTTCTACACTTGTGTTTGTATATATTTAATGATCATATATACATCTAATAGTAAAAAGATTTTCAGCTATTAAATTTAAAAACTGCTTACATGTAGTTAAAGAAATTAAATAGTGAGAAAATACACAACCAAGCTGTTATTTGATCTCTGAGATCTATATTGAACACTTCAGCTCTTAAAAGTTAATCTGCATACTACGGTATGAATCCTCTTGCACCCCCCCCCAAGAAAATATACATAATAGATTACAGAATAGCAGATGTCAGGGTCATCTTTCTTTTTAAAGAATTAAGCCATATTTTGTGAGGGCCAGAACTTGGATTATTTAATATATTTCCCCCTCTCCCCATTGAAAAACAATGTTTCAAAATGATTTTATTGACCTCTTTATACAGAATTTTACTTGCAAAACTTTGGGGGCTCGAATGCAGTACATAATATTTATATTGTATTGAGCTTTTTTATTCCTCACACTATATTTACATTAATAAATTGATTGAGAAGTTTATAGTAAAGGGAAACTTACGGAACACTTTTATATCATTTAAAAGATGACCTGACCAAAAACTTTACAGGATTCATAAATCAGGGATCATTTTGCTATTGACTTCACAGTGATCAGTAGTTTTATAGGTAATATTATAGTTAATTTGCAGCGTTTTAGTACTTGTATTATTTATTTTTGGTCAGAAATAGTAAATTAAAAATATTTTTTGATAGTTTATAAGTAATGATCAACCCATAACTTTTAAAAGAAACAAAATGTTTCTATTATTGAGTTAACTTTTTGATTACACAGACTAGGAAAGGCAGGGAAATTTATGGGCTCCCCTTCTCCCTCGTGGTTCTATTAAGATATTCTTTATGTTAAACTTTCAAAGTACTTTATAAATTTAGTTACCAGTTACTATTTAATTGAGAATTTTCTGAAAAATCCCATTTCAGCAGACTTTTAATGAAGGTGAAAGCAACCCTTATGTGCTTTCTACTTATTTGAATGTTCCTCAAGTATTTTATATTTAAAATAAAAAAAAAAGAAGGAATAGAAAAAACAGTGCCTCTGTTTTTAGAAAACTACTGCTCAGTAAAGTTGTTTAAAACCATTTCTGGTAGCTAATGACAATTTTATATTAAATTGTATACTAACTTTAGTGAGACTGATTTTTTTTTTTTAGTTGTTTACAGTACAAATACTTGTATTTGTTTTTTAATTGCAGTATTTCCATTGTCGCAGTAATTTAGTAAAACTCTGTGGCTGCCTTGATTTTGACAGATTTTGTTGACAGATTTTGTTAATATAAACTGATTGTTAGGCAATTAGTTATATTTATGCATAAATCAATTGCACTATAATTCATGAATTATTTATTACAATATTTTCTAATGAATTCATGTATCTGTCTTGTGTTGTAAATGTACTGTAATTCTGTTTCTATTTTGTGTTGTTAAATATCTAAATCTGATTGTATGAATTTAATTGTTCAGTTAACGTGTTTCTAGGTTGTAATTTGTAGTAAAGCACTTCAATGCTTTTGCACTTAAATTTACAACACTGTTGGTGTGTGATTGATTTACTCATTCAGTAAAAGATAAGAAAAGCAAAGAAAATAACCTGGCTACACTGACTTCTTTGATTTCCTGTAGGAAGTTTTATTAAAATTCATGTTAGAAATTAACTATTTCTAGAGAAATATTTCAACAAGCTTTTAATGGGAAAAAATGGATAGTAACACAAGAAATAGGCAGGAAGTTTTGGTTTATAAATGAAACAAAAAGGTTAGTAAAAATTCAGACATGGGATCTATAACAAACATGGGATAACATGGGATCTATAAAAATATAATTATAGGGTCTTAGGTATAAATCTCTTGAGAATTAGGTTGGAGATCAGTGTTTTCAGTTTACTCATGTTAGATTTTTTTCTTTGAGACTTTGGTGTGCAAGTAATAAGGAAAACTAGAAACCAAATAAGTATATATCAAAGTTCTGAACTTTGAAAACTTGGTTCTCTACCTTCATATATAAATACTCTTAATATATGAATACATAACTGGTACTGTATTAAGCTTTTCTTCATATAACACTAAATAAGATTACTGGCCACTGAAATTTTTGAAATTCCATCAATAAATGTAATAAACTGAATAAGAAAGCTCTTCTTTTAAAGTATAAATTTTGTTGGAATGTCAGAAGAGATATTAGAAAAATCAGCACTTTTCACAATTTTTTAGTGTAATCAAATGGAAGTTACATAGCATTTTTTCAGATTATTTGACATAAGATCTTTGATTATTTCTAGGCTCATTTACTTCTGGTGCTAGATATTGAAGATAGGGCTTCTTGGATGCCAAGTGTGCACATTACCACTGAGCTGTATCCTCAGCCCTTGATTATTTCTAATTTATACTTGTCTCCATTAATAGAAAAGTGCATTTGAGCATTTCTGAAACTGTTATGAAAGAGTATAAATATTTAAAATACGGTGTAACATATTTTTCTAAGAAACATGTAAAGTTTCATTATTAGTTGACAAATATGTTTAATAGCCCATAACATTACTTTCAGACCTGCCTAAGTGTGTCTCTCTAATACTTTGGGTTTTCTTTTGCCTTTGTAAAAGTTTAATTTTTGGAAAAGAGTATATCTTAATATTTGATATCATTTCCTCGCACCCTTCTTTATTTGTGGTTTGTTTGGTATTTTGTTTGCTTTGTTTTGGTTTTTTTGACTCTCTGATCTGAATTCTGGGAGTAAATACCACCATTTTACACTCCCCACCACTGCAGAGTTTACAAAAGGGAAAGCATAGTGAGGTCATGTGTTTCATCTCTAGAGGTGGCAGTTATTTAAAAAGTTTTATTCTAATTTCACCTCTCTTCTTTCTCTGATAGGCTTTAATGTCAAATCATATGCCACTTTTACTGAAATATTGGTAAAACGTAGTGAAGTCTTTCAAGAACAGTTTTGATCAGATGTTCAAAATTTGCTTTGGTATTTTTACTACTTAACTAATTTTTATAAAAGGTAATGAAATACTGCACATTAGCTGTGAAATAGGTTATGAGAGTTTCAGGGAGCAAAATAAATATTCTCCACATTTTGTTTTAAAAGAAAACTTTTCTGATTTTTAATAATACGCAAGTATATTCAGTTGCAATTCATAATCAATATATCCCACTTCCAATCTTAAATAAAATTTCCACAAACCAAGAACTATTAACAGCAAATATAGTAAATCACAAGTAAAAAACTATTTTCATGTACAGAGTTTGGTGATATGTTTAATTAAAACAGATACTTTTCTGAAACAGAATTCTTTTAATATATTTTATTCTTCTTGCTGCTGGTATTGGAGTAAAATTTTCTGTAGACTTCTATATTGGTGGATACCATCCTGAGTCTTAGATGTACATTAGTTTCTGCAGTGGGTCATTTTCCAGCATTTGAAATTTAATAATTAGGTAAGTAATATCTATAGTTTTCCTGTAATCACTTCAGTATTTTAGATCAATTAAAATAGATTTAATTTTTAAATAGCTTCCATTTTTTAATTTTCATATTAGGTAAAAATGCCTGCAGCTTAATCTCAGAAAAGATATTCTGTTATTTATATGAAACTAAATTCTTTAATTTTCCTTGTCACTAGACAGAGCTCTCTAGTAATCATTTCATTTTTACTATTTAAAAATATTTTAAATAAACATAAGGTGTTACTCATATCTTGTTTACTTATTTGCACTAACATGGACTGATAGTTCTTAAAGTAACATAAAATGTCTACTTTACAAAAATTTTAACTCCTTCTGAAGCATTTTCCACTAAACATTCTTAATATGTCCAAAACCCTAAATATTGTCAGTTTGTAAATATAATTAATCATATGTCATTATTGCAGGTCTATAGGAGTCAGGAGTCCAGCAATATCAAATATCTTGTGTTCAGACTCTGTCAAAATTATAACCCCTTATCATGCTATTTTTACTGTAATTCATTTTTTTGTTTGATTTTTATTTTTAGTTCAACTGTTGATGCAAAATCAGAGGAAGCTACTAAAATGGAAAAAGGAAACTCAGCATTAAGCAAAGTGTTGGAATCTTTGTGCACACATCACCAGCAACAAGTTTTGGCTATGTTGAAATTTCTAGTCCAAGAGCAGAATGCTACTTCTCTTTGCTGTTGTAATGCGTCATGTGCTGTGTCTTCAGACTCTCAAAAGCCCCTATTTGGAGATGATATACATGGTCTATTTTGTAGTTGTGAATATAGGCTGGCAGAAAGAGGGTGTTTACAAAATGAAAGACAAAGTGCTGTTTTAATGCCTCTGCCAGTCTGTATTAAAGAATTACTTTGTTTATCTCGCCATTCTGTAACGATTGAACACATTAAGACAGTAATGAATAGAGGAGTTGCAGACTGTTCTACTTCTCATAGGTGCTGTTCTCAACTGTTACCAAACATTGACCCCACAAAATCACCCTTTCATAGTCCGCTTTTGTCAAGGGAAGTATGTGGTCTTTCAGTCAGTCTTAATGATGTTTGTAGATCTCGCAGTCCCTCACCCCCACCATTATCACCTATACAGACTGAAGGATTTGAAAAATTGAAAGACGTCATCTCAGAGTTTTCAGCCTTAGAAAATAACACATTTGAAACAAATACTAACCAGCCTCCATCTCTAACACCAGCAGAAATAAGCAACAACAGTGATCAAGAAGGAAAAACATATAAAACTAAAAAATCCAGTAACTCTGATTCTTCATTCTCAGATGCCAGTAGTAATTGCACCGCAAATCATGAAAAAGGTGAAACGACTGTGATTTTTCAAGACTTAATGGATCGCATTAATGAAAAATTAAAATCAATAGAAACCACAGATATGACAAACCTTGTAAAATTATCTAGCAATGATTATAGTACAGCTAATGATTTTAAATTGGGAGATTTAATAACATCTCTCCTGCATAATGCGAAGCCCAGTGATTATAGTTTTATGGAATTACTAAATCAACATGATAGGAAGATAGAAAATAAAATTATTCAGACAAGATTTCAAAAGCGTCAGCAAACCTTATTTGCACTGCACAACTCTCCTGACTCACCTATGATTAGAAGGCAGTCTTTACAGATAAAAAGAGAACTAGCTAGTTTTGATGAAAATTTTGTAAGAAAAAAACATTCTGAAAAAAATTCAAGGAAATTGATGCACAATGATGCGGTATTTTCATCAGACAAAGAGGAATTTCATCATTGCCAAGAACCTTTGCAGAATTCTAAAAGCTTTCAAGATAAAAATTCAGAAAAAGCCCTTTCATCGAACTATGCATTACAGTCATTGCAGCTGCCACTGAATAGTTTAGAAACTAACTTGGCTTTAAGTGAGTTTTCAGAAAACTTTAAAACAACTTCACCTGAGAAAATGAACACAAAAGTACAAGAGAAATGTACAGTTGGAATAAAAAATTTTAAAGGTAATAACCCAAAAGATGAGAAAATTCAAGCCCCTTTGAGAAATAATGTTCCTGGACTTGTGAACAGAACTAAACGAAATATTGTACCTCCAGGATGGTATTCAATATATGTGACAAATAATTGTGCTTTTAAAAAGTCACCAAAGGCAAAAAAAGTATCTGTATGTACACAAAATAAAGATGCAGTGAGAAGTGTTCAGAGTGAAAGCCCACAGAATATAGACCTAAATAAAATTGCAATGAATTCTAATTTGCAAGTTGTGGTGGAGCGTTTGGAAGATACAATAAATAAGACCAAAATGTCTTGGAATAATCAGCCAGTACCAGAAGGCTATAAAGTGTCCAATAAATTGGTAGAAATTGATGGTAAAGATGAAAGGGCTGGGAGAAATATGAGTCTTACTTTAAGTAAAGTAAGTAAAGAACAAGGTTTATCAAAATCAGAGAGCAAATCAAGCAATATTAGCAAAAGTCATTCAGTGCCTATTGTGGATTCAGATAACAAAAGGCTTGATAATTCAAAAACATCATCTATTTTAGAGAGAGAGAGTTTGATTGCCAGTGTTGATAATGTGCCAACAAAATGTGAAGCTATTGAAAGCTCTTTTTCTAACTATTGTAGTCCTATCAAGCTCATGTTTTTATCTGAGATTAAAAGCGGTGACGGAGTCAAATACACTTTAACTTCAATTGGTACTTCCCAGTCAAATGTTGATCATCCTTCTGAAAAATGTGCAACCTATCATGTAAATGGGAAAAAAAGAGAAACAAATGGGGATATCCCAAATGCTAACTCTGAAAATTACAGTTCAAATCAAGATACCAGCACATTTCATAGAGAACTGAACAAATTTACCTGTGCAAAAGAAACTATGGACTCCTCCACATTGCCTACAGAAGATTTGAACAACAGTAAGCCACAAGCATCTCTGGAAAACCCAAGCAGTGCTGTCGATTCATCTTTTAAAAGAAAACCAGGTAGACCTAAAAAGATAGGCCCTCAAGTTGTGAAACAGATTAAACGACCAATTGGAAGACCACCAAAACCTAAGATTGAGCAAGCGGACCTCACCATTTGCCAAAATGAATCATTTTGTTCTGGAAAGAAAAACCAAGACTCTCCCATAACAGAAGCAAAAGAAGGCATTTATAAAAAAAGCATTATAGTGACTGTTATTTATGGAAGATCAAGAAGAACTAAAAGGCATGTATCTGAAGGAAATATAAACATTAGTAACATTATGTCATTAAACAATATTGCTGATTTTTCCACAGAATACAACAGTCTCAGAAGCCTTAGAGAATATGAAATTGACTCTGGTCAGAGAATAAGTACTGAGTCTAGCTTGACCACTGAAAGAGAGAGCTTGAGGTCTAGCTTTGACTATATCAGACCTATCAGGAATAAGTCTGTGATACTTCAGCCTTCCAAGAACATTACTCAACCAAATCACAAGCCTTTGGCAATAATTAGGAAGCCTGGTAGACCTGCCAAAGTGAAAATATCTGGCATATCTGTGACTATTAATAAAATTTCTCCTCAGGAAAGAGAAGTAAGTATCAGCAGTTGCTTACCTCCTTTAGAACAGGAAAATATGTTAGAAAAAACTCTCTACGAAGAAAAGTATGATCAACAATGCAATAAGATGGACAAAACAAGGCACACTGATGGTGATACTTTAAAAAGTGAATCAAAAAGTATGATTGCTACTATACCTTTGAGACATCCTACTAGGGACAAAAAGCGATCTCTGCACTTACATTCATTAGCATCTTCTAGTTCACTTATTTATAGAAATTCTCTGCTTCATAAATCATATAAGCTGCATTTGCGAAAAGGCAAAAGCCTAAAGAAAAAATACAGACAGTCAAGAATAAAAATAGCTTCCAAAAATACCCCAAGAGCTAGGCATCCAAGAAATGCAAAAAAGTGTTTGGAAGATAACAAATTAATACCTATTTCTGAAGTATCATTAGACCCTATAATATCATCAAACCCTTTGCTCAGGTGGTGGGCTACTTCTGCTTCAAAAGATTCCTTATTAGAGGAATTAAACAATAGATTTGAACAAATAACAAATGCTTGGGTACAAGTGAGTGGAGATGAAGTTGAAAATTTTGATCATAAAAAAGAGTACATTGAAAATGATAATTTTAAAATAGAAAATCCTTTGGAAACTTGTGTTCTAGAACTTGATGTTTCACCTGTAAAAATGCTTTTTCAGAAAAAGTATGATTTGAATGAGCTTTGTACCTGGTTTATGCAAACAACAGAAACACAGTCTCTTTCACTAGTTAGGAAAGCAAATGCTCGAAACCCTTTGGAAGTAATAAATACCAAGGGAATAAAGTTAGGGGCCAAATATTGTGATTTTAGTACCAGCCCCTTCAGAAAGCACTTTAAAAAATTTGCACTCTCTTCTCCTTCAAAATCAGCTGGGAAATTGCATGTACTGCATAAAATGGTTAGCTCTCCGCTCTTAAATGTGAAAAGTAATTTAACACTGGCTAGGTTGAAAAGGACTGAGTTTAAGAGGTTGCACCACGAAAGGTGGAGAAAAGAGGGAAAACTGCACAACCATGGAACAACTGATTTGGACTCCAAAAGGAGGAACTTAAGATGTTTCTGCCAGAACCAATTCTTAAGTAAAAATAGGGTGGGCACAAATGCTGACGTTCCACTCTATGAAAAAGGCGAAGTAGGGAACTGTTGTATTTTCCCACCTGAGATCAAGGGTGACTTTTTCCAAGACACGGTGGTAATGCCTGACTTCAAAACATATACTAGTGTAGAAAATAAATTTAAGTCTGAAGTGAAGGAGAATGGAATAAACTGCAGCCAAAAAGATTTTGAAAAGGGACCAAAACTAGAAAACATGTATCCAAATAATTGGAGGTCAAAAACCTTAAAAGACTGTAGAATATTTTTGAGAAAGATCAACTATCTTGAACACAGAAATACTTTTAAGCTAAATACAATCATTTACTCTCCTGAATCTGTTGACAGTGAAAGTAATCTTCATACACATATAGAAGGATCAAAGCACTTTACTTTAAGATCTCATTCTGCTAGGCAGAGTTCTTTTAAAAAGCAAACTAAAGAAATAGAAAGTGATAAAGCAAATAATGCTTCAGCCAATACATTTGCTGATCAACTTGGCAATAATAGGCTAAGCAAGTGTATAAACTTTGACAAGAATCCTTCTGATAGTTCTGAAGTTCTTAGCAAATTGAACAAAAGAAAAAGACCACCATGGAAGACCACAGAAATGTCAACAAAAAGACATAAACGGCAGTCTTGCAACAATGGACAAATGGCAAACTATTTTTCAAAATCCCAACTAGGTAAGTTTTTCTCTAATTAATTTTAAAGTTTCATTGTAGGTGCCTTGAGTAAAAATGAGATAGCAAGTAGAAAAGCAACAGCTGGTTCAGTTTTAATTTATTTCTGAAATACTTGTACAACCTAATTTCTTGGCACCTAGTATGAAACTCATGAAAGTAGGTGTTGCTAAATGTACCAGTGCATTTTCCCTTCCCCATAATGTGTCTAAAATTTCAAACATATTAAAAACATGTTCAGTAAAGACATAGAAAGCTTTAAAAATATATCATTAATAAGACATTATCTACTCTTACATTAAATAGATCTAATATAAAATCAAGACAATTTGATAAATATGACCATGTAACTAAAAAGATCCTATATTACATGCTGATATATATTTATTCTCTTGATAATTCACAACCCACGCTATGCAGGAAAGAGTAAGTACTTTCTCACTGATAAGGACAATGACATTACAATTCTAGGGTATCAGTCTCCCATCCCCCATCACGTTATGCCGTTTGGTACTGTACTGCTTTGGAACCTACTTTAAAACCCTGCTTATTTGAAAAGTGATGTAATGCTATGTTTTTCCAATAAATCAGCAAACGAGTTTCTTTTCATATCTGACATAAAATGGGAATTCCTTTCCAGAGCTTAGCAAGACAAAGTCTCATATACATGTTGAAATAAGTGCTAAGTTGAGAATACAAGTATGTATGTGCTTTATTCAATTACATTGATGTGACTTTGGTGTGAAGACACTATTACTGTTTGGAACCTACCACACCAACTCTGTGGTGCCAGGATAGCCATTTTCCATTTCTGCTCCTTCGTACTTGCTAGACGGTACAGGACATGTAGCAGCGCTGAAGGGCTCACTGATCACTTCTCATGCATCAGAAACGTCAGGACACTTTACTGTATGGCTGCATTGTTATATTCTAAATCTCTCGGGTGGTGTTTGGGGCTTCAGAAGTATTAATGGGTTCATTTTTCTCACCTTTTTAAAAACAGCATAGACGCTAAAATAAGAAATATCAGTTCTCCCTGCCTGGCAAGCACAAGGTCCTGAGTTTGAGTCCCAACACCAAAAAAGAAAAATAAATAACAGTTCTCATATTAAAATATTAAAAGCAGTAATTATGTTCTAGAGCTTTGACAGATTAATGATTTTTATGGCCCCTAAAATTCAATTGCTTAACTGAAAAACTAAAATACCTATTTCAGTAATAGCTCCATGTAATGATTAGAATGTTAAATGTCTAAGACAAAGATTAAAATTTTTAAAATGATCAGAGTAGGATCTTTTTAATGAAATATGAATCAAAACTAAAAAGGATTATCTTTGTTTCTTGTCCTCAGTATAACTCAACAAATACTACATCAGGAAAAGAAGGTAGAAAAATCCTGATAATTAACTTTTTTAATTTATAATTTACCTTAAGAATACATGCGATTTTTATGAAGAGTAAAAGTAAAATTTCATTTAGTTATTTATATCATGCTCATTTCATGTACTCACAGTTTATCAAAGAAAATGTGCATTAATTCATTGTGCAACAGAACCGTATTTTATCCTTTCAGCCTCTTAACCATTGTATTTTCTGAAGAATGAAACATAAAATTTATTTTACTGTTTCTTCAATGCGCTAAATATGAGATCATCCTAGAGGAGTTAGAGGGAGGATGTCTTTATTATTTTTAAAAAATAATTTCAAAATTATTTTGGGGTATTTAAAGAAATTTTAGTATAATTTGAAAAATGTTTTTTATCTTTGTCATTTTAAAAAGTACTAGTGCTACTTCCTGTTCTGCTTAAAATTTTATTTATCTTTCACTGATAACTTTCCTTCTTTGTTTTTAACATTGTTTTTTATCAACAAGGACATTTTTATAAACTTGTTTTTATGGCAGTATTTGTTATATTTATCTGATTTTTAAGTGTTTCCTTACAGTGTTATTTTTTTTTCATTATTCTTAGTATTCCATACTTTTTTTTTCCCTTTTGAATTGACACTAAAATTCATTATTAATTTCATGTGTGTTTGCCTTCGTAGAATAATTAGGACTGAAGACCTACAAATCATTGCATAGTGATTTTCCAGAAAAAAATGCCTACGACAATGTATTTAATGAATTTTGAGATATTCCTAGTGGTGAAAAGTTTTGTTTCTACCATGAATGTTTTGTTTTGTACATTTGATACTACAGTGTACATTTATATACATGGATATAGTTGTAAATATTTTTAAGTTTTTATTTAATTTATACTGCTCTATATCAAGTGTAAACATGGGAAGAAGGAAAAAAATGCAATTCCATTCAATTATTAATTCAACAAATATAATGATATCTATAATGTCCTCTTGGTCACTGTGGAAAATTTCAAAATTCCCTTTCCATCTAAGTTAGAAAGGGAAGACCTGCAACATTGGTTTATTTAATAAATCGAGTAAATTTTGTGTTTTAAGCAAGATATTATGTGCTATAAGGGAACACAATGGCTGAAGTTAGGTCTTTCTTACCATCTCATGAGGGATAGAAAACTGAATAGGCAGTCCTGGTGGAATGAGTGTTATGCCAGAAAGATACATCGTGGGATACACAGAAGGAAAAATGAATTATAATTTAGGAAATCAGGCAAAGTCTCCTGTACTGTCATAAGTAATCAGAGAGTTAAAGGATGCTTAGATATTAGAAACAGTTTCAGGCAGAGCAAGCTGCATATAGGAATTGTGGATGATGAAAAAGTAAACTTACTTGTAGCACTGAATGGTATATAAGAGCTGATGAAATAGAATCATAGGTTAGCAGGGTTGGTGTTAAGAAAATGGTAAAAGATCAAGGCTCCTGAGGAAAGCATAGCCCAAATTACGATGTCAACATCTGTTGCTGAAATGATGTTCTAAGCCCCAGTTGTAAGAATAACAGAAAAGAGTAGAGATCTGTGACATAAAATCAGTTTACAATTTACTGTACAGTTAGGTAATCAAGGAAATAGGCCTGAGCTGGGATGGAGACTGAGGAGTTGGCAAACAAGTGAAGTCACAGGGTGGGAGATTTTACTGTATTTTTTTGGTTAAACATTTTAGGGGAGGTTTATTTTTTCTTTTTGATGCCGAGGACCAAACCCAAGGCTTCCAGCTTGTTAGGCAAGCATTCTGCCGCTGAGCTAAATCCCCAGGCCCCGGAGTATGTAGTATATGACTGAAAAATCTTAGGACCTCAGAGCCCCAAAGATACAAAGAAAAGAAAAAGTGAGCACAAAAGGAAAACTGCTATGGATAGTCAGGCAGTCAGAAAAGAACCCCTGGAGAGTGGTGCGAGGAAAAATTTTTAAAGGGAGTATAAGGCTTGGGATGTGGCTCAATAATAGGGCACTTGTGTAGTAACAGGCACAAGGCCCTGGGTTCGGTTCCATCCCCAGTACTGCAAGAAAAAAGTGTGAATTGTTGTTAAGAAGCTAATGAAACTAAGTCCTGAAATGGTTACTCTGAATACAAAAGCAAAAGGTTGTCTTCCTGCTTTGAGAGAGAGTGACTCTGGTAGACTCACAGAGCCAGACTCTAAAGCAGTGATAGATGAGTAAGGGAGAAAGAGGAGAGGAAAATACACAGCACAGAAAGCTATAAATGGCTAAAAATGAAGAGGAGATAGAGAGCCAAGAGTATTTGGAGCTGAAGGCAGATTTCCAAAAATGTTTAGATGTCAATAGGAAACAGCTACTGAAGAATAAAAACGTGAATGTACAAAACTGAGACGGCAAGCAATAAAAATGGGATGATGCCCCTGAGTTGATTCCTGTGTTTAGGATCTGAGTATTGGTCTTGGCCCAAAGATTCGTGTTTTCATAAAACAAGAGTAATAAGAACAATAAATGGTGATGGAAATCAGTAATTAATGGGCAAAAAATTCAGATACTAAGACTCATTTTCTGTGAAATACAAGGTCAGCTCAGAGCAGAATGGTAGGCTTGGGTACTGGAGAATGTGTGTTAGGTGTGAAATACATATCTCAGAAAATACAAGCTAGACTGACTGTGCACCTTTATCTCAGTTGCCAGGATGTAAATTAATAGGTTCAATAGTAGTTGAGTTGACTGTGGTTACAGAAAGAAAAGAATTCAGAACAAGAACATATGCTTAATTTTGTGAATAATGAGAAGCTACATAAGCAGAGTTGAGTTTTAGATAATCTTTTCTAATAATACCACAAAATACAGATTTGTTTGGAAATGGTAGGTGAGTGATCAGTTGTAGAACTGAAATAATATTGGCCTAAAATGGAGTGTAATTATTGAAAATAAAGATACAAACTTTGAAACATTCTTTCAGTACCTTTTGAGTTCCCAAAGCAATTATGTGCCTTTTCTTGATTGGTAAATATCTGGATGTAAATAAACTGAACACTATGAAGAAATCTTTAAGACTAATTTAATATAGACCTAAAGCTACTCTACACTAGTAGTACTTATCCTAAAACATTATTTCTCATAAATGCACAAAATTCTGTTGACACTTCAAAATAGACTCTGAGATGTCTTTTTAAAATATTCAGTGTGTCAACTTCTCCTGTTTTGCATTTTGTCCTCAAAAAGGACTTAATGGGCCAGGCATGATGGCACATGCCTGTAATCCCAACACTCAGGAGGCTGAGCCAGGAAGATCATTGTAAGTTCAAGACCAGCCTGGGCTACAAAGCGAGCTCATGGCCAGCCAGAGCTGCATTGCAAGACCCTGTCTCAGAAAGACAAGATAAAAAAGGCTAAATACACATTTTTTTTTTCTCTTTAGAATTCGGGTTTTCACACAGGTTTATAACTGGTGGATGGTTTTCAGTAATACACATCTTGAACTACCTAAAATTATGAGTAACCATGAATCCTCCTCTGTTCCTTCAGCACATTGTATCGCACTTGCTAAACATTGAACACAGGATGTTCTTTAGAAATTTAAGGCAACCTGTTGCACACAATGTTCTTAGACCTTGTCTGAAATTTAGAGTTCCTTCATGTGTTGTTGTTCAACATCATAATTATCATTTAATGATGAAACTGTAAAGCACAGAGAAGATAATTTTTCTAAAGTTAATTTTGGTAGAAAAACATTTCCAGATGACTCCTAGTCACACAGCCCAGGGAGCTACACCAACACTGCAAAGATGGCCTCCAAGGAGCGCTCTCCGGCCCCGACGCCTCGCCCCCCTGCCAGGACACTGGGCGAAGCGCTCTGGGATCAGCCTGGGTCTTGCTCTTACCAAGTCCCAGGGGCCCACTAGCAGCTAAATGGTATTTCTCAGACTTTTTGTGATCGCGTGGAACAGCGTGGAGAACGTAATTAGAAATACTGCTTTCTAGTCTAAGGCCCAACCACGCTGAATGTGCCCGATCTCATCTGCTCTCGGAAGCTAAGCAGGGTCGGGCCTGGTTAGTACTTGGATGGGAGAAATATTCCTTTCTGCTAGAGTTTCTTGGTATTTTATTGTGCTGTTTCCAGAAACAATGTAATGACTGTAAAAATATGTGAGTACATACTAAGTTTGACCCAGTATATAAATTAAGGAATTCAAAATGACATTTCCCATTAAAACACCTTTCAGCCAAAAATTATCATTCCAATCACTCCGTTTCATTTTTGCTTATTAGAGTCTTCCATGTTAAGAAAGGGTGAGCTGTGTTAGCAGTCAGTTCTGGCATCTGCCATCTGCACGACAAGCCATGAGAAAACATTTGGCTACGGGTTTGGCAAAGTGTAAGATCAGCCTCTTCTCCAGTGTATATCCCTAGGCCTAATTTGGTCAGAAGTGGGTGAATGAAAGATATTTGATATAAAAATGTATTCCTAGACATACTCCTTTTTGTATGGGCCTCTTATTCCCAATTTGGTCATGCCACTGTCATAAATAAAATTTTTTAAACTGACTCTGTTAATTCAGGTATAATGAATTGCATATTTTAATTAAAGCCTATTCAATTATTGAATTTTTATCCTTTCTTTAGAAATTGAGTA